CATCTATAACCTGACACACTCAAACTCATTCTCTCAGCATCAGAAAATAACCTAAAATTGCTACCACTATGTCTGACAGCCATGATACCCATTACCATCATCTATAAGCTGACACACTCAACTCTTTTTCTCTCTCTCAGCATCAGAAAATATATAATTGTAAGCTAACCCCAGGTGTAATGATAAATTAGTCAACATTAGTGCACTTAAGTTGCTAAACTGGTGGTAATTCCTCAATTGGCTCTTCTCATGTATATGCTGCCAACATCTTACTCCGCATCAGTTGCGTCTAAATTGTAGAATACATTTCTGTTATTGACCTCTCACCCATCAATTTCTGATTCTTGCTCCAGTTAGTGAATGTGCTAAGCAAACTTTTACGTGCCTCTTGACCATGGCAGATATAATTTGATGGACCGAGATGCCTGAGAACAAGGTAAGGCCCAGTCAAGGTAGAACTAAGTTGATTCTATGTAGCAGGAATATACCAAAGCCATACCCAATCTCCATGTTCAAGTTTTTGTTCCTTCGTTGTCACTTCATATCTTCTGCTATATGGTAGTCTTAATTTTCCAAATGCTGACATGCATATTCATGTGCATCAACTAATGCAAACTTCATTTACTTCACATATTATTATGGGTAGTGTGATGCAGCTGCACTGGGAAAAAGATTCATCACAGCCACTTAGAGCTATATTTCTTTACCAAACATCTGTAAATTTAGCAAACAGTCAATCATCTTTTGCTCTACTGTATGATATGCCTTTATGACATAGGTAAGCGTTCATTTCAGTTACATTACAAACTTTGTAAATATACACTTGATAATTATATTACATATTATTCTGATACAGCAGACTGTATAATGTAGTATTCACACCCAACACCTTAAACATTTTCACATCAGTGATGGGCTGTGTTTAATGTATCAACCAATGGATACGTTAATATTCACTGATGAAGTACTCGATAATGACCAACAGATATATATTATCTCTCTCCGTCTATAGAAGAAGACCACTCTATATCTAGAGTTATTTTATGCAAAGAATAACCTAAAACTCTCTTCAGTCAAACAACACCAGCCCATCTAAGAGGTAACAGTGGGTAGCGTTGACTATCAATTTATCTCCAAACTCTCTAGTCTATCAGTTCAAAATTATAAGAATGGCTAATCAAATAGTCTTTGAGTAGCTTTGCTCAAATATCCGATAACAAACAAATACTTTGTTATTGTTAATTATCGTGCTATTAAATGCATAAGGCACTTTAGTTAGCAGGTTGTTTTTGCTTTTATTTTAACAGCTGAAATACATTTGTTTGTTTTAATTTGATTATCTCCTAAAGTAACGTGTTTTTTTGTTGTTGTCTTTGTATAAGGTGTCTTAATTTAGTTATCGTTTTCTATGGATTCGCTTCAAGATGTCATCTTTGCAGTATTAGTTTAATATTTTCTTATCAAGTGCCACAACGGTAATTCTACAGACTTCTGATGCTATAAACAGGGTTTCGATAACGTGTTAGGCACAGCAAAGATAGCTCATTGTGTAGCATTGCGCTTAACTACAAGCAAACTTCTTCTCAATCGGTCCTAAATTAGGTATTGAATCCTTACATAAAGTTAAGAGAGCTTATTGATTTATGTACAAAATCGGCAATTGATGATGCTCAGCACGTTAATGGACTAAATATCTTAAAAAGTTAAAAGAACACTCTCACTTAACGTTAACACATATGATCAAGTTTATGGTATAGTTTCCAATTAGAACCTGTATTAACTAATATACTTAGGTTATGTGTGTGTAGTTTGTGAAAACTTGTGTCTAGAAAAATGCTTAATGATTTTAAACCTATATATATATATATATATTGCAGACATTATATAAATGACACATTTACGGTATTTGAACATAATAAATCAAGTAGAGAAGCTTGTTAAGTATACAGAACAGTGCCATAGTTATATACAACTTATAGTAGAAAAAATATAACTACAGTTTGCCTTTTTAAATACGGTATTGACTAGAAATAATGGAAAACTGGAATATAATCAGTATTCCAAACCTTGTGCTCAAACTTATATCAATTTATATACACACTTTGACAGCTTCATTCCAATTCAGTTAAACCAAATTTCATAAACATGCAAAGGGTTGAGTACGTTATATTTCGACCC